TTTTGTGATCCCTCAGAAGTGTACTGCTTTGTGGATGCTAGTGAAGTTCTGTGGGCTATAGACGTTCGCTGTGAAGGAGCTCGCTCTGTCATGCCACATGTACGGTTGGTAGGAAGTGTTGGTGTTCATCAACTAACATCTAGATCAATTCCCGCGAAAGAGCTTGATAGCTTGTATCGTGCAGTCAAGCTAATGAAGAAGGTCATGTCTGATTGTGTCTCGGGGAGTGAGGCTAGGATCAAGAAGGTTACGTTCTTTACCGACTCGGAGATTACTATACATAGACTGAGAGCATGGAGATCTGGTAGGATTCAACGGCTTGACTTGGGTACTTTTGAACGGAATCGTATGCGTAATATAGCCGACTTCCTCAACAAAACTGGTTTCGTGGTAAATCATAGCCGGGCTCTGCAGTTATGGATGTGACTGATATTGACCTTGGACTGAAGAAGGGATTATTGCGCTCTACGTTGCAATATATTCCAGAGGTTACACCAGAATCTTCTAGCGTTGCAGTCGAATCTCCCGAGATAGAGAGACTAAATTGTTTCAGCTATGATCTGGTAGTAAGGAATGATGATGTTCTACGGGGAAAAGTATGCTCTTCCCGAGGTAGTGATCAGTGGATACAAGGTATGAAGGCCAAGGTCAAGGATGGTGCTGTTATGAACACCCCGGGAACTAGGGGATTTTGTATTGATGAGGTGACAGGATTACTCTGTAAGAGGACCCTCAATTGGAAAGTAGTGGATGATAAAGAGACGGTTGACCTAGGTGGACTTGGATATGTTGTTCCTGATGCTGATGTGGCTCTTCAAGATGAAATTATTAAGAAGTTACATGTTTATGGTGGTCTACCGCAGAATATCCGAAGGTTATGTTCACAATTTTATTTTAAGTACATGAAGGTGAAGTGTAAGAAGTATCTCAGAGAGTGTGAGATATGTGAGAGACTTCGCACACATCGAGGAGCTCGAAAAGCGATAGCTGCGTTGCCTAGTTGGCAAACTAATTGGCAGCCGTGGGAGTGTGTATCGTTGGATATCGTTGGCCGGGCCAACTTGGCCCCCTATGTCCCAGTTGTGAAGACGATCAGCACAAGGAGGAGAATCCAGGAGAGCTAAGGTATTTTCTGAGCTTTGTCGATACTGCTACTAAGTTTATGATAAATGTCCTTATAGCTAATCGATTGGTGAGTTCTTTGGTGGCCGCGGTGAATGAGGTGTTTGGGCATCGTGAACAAATTCCTAAATGTCTCATAACAGATAGAGAGAGTGGATTTCTGAGCAAGGCCTTTCAGTCTTACTTATTGACTTGGCCATTTACGATACATCATGTTACTGGTGCTCCTTATCAAGGCTGCCATGCAGGTCACTATGAGAGATTGCACTTGCATGTCAACAAGTTCCTGACAGGAGCGCTGCTTGCTTCTGGTGAGAGTGTTTATTGTTGGCATCGTCATTCAGCTGAAGCTACTCGGTTGCATAATGTTATGCCCTTTGATCAGGATGTGGACCTATCTCCTATGGATATGTTCAGAGCGTATGCTCCTCGCAGACTGTTGAAGAAACCCGATCTAGGCAAGGATGAGATCGTAGACAAACTGCATATGAT